AAAACACCTTTTAGGTCAATGCTTCTTACATGAACATGAAAGATCCAATAGATATGAAACCGAAAGGGTTGTTTAAAGGACATCCTAAGCTTTCTAAAAAGTCCCAGAACACCTTTTCAGGGTTAAAATTGAGGGAGATATGTATTGTCAAAGTTGACTGATTTTTGGAAATGTGCATGAAGTCAACATTGATCAAAATGACTTTTTTTCCAAATGGGCCCATGTTTTCTTGTTTGAAACTTGTTCCTAAGAGAACCCACGACCCCTTAACTTATTCACCTATTATTTTATTATTTTTATTATTTATTTTTAATTTTTATCCATTTAAATCAAAATAAATTAATTTAAATAGTAGAATATTGAAATAAAATCCAAGATTTGATTTTATGAGCATATTATGAGTCAATGAACAGCTAGAAAATCATCCAAATCGTGCAAGAGCTAACTGATTGGAAAAGATCATAATTTGGTCTATTTTAGAAACAAATCGTATAAGGCAAAGAATGAAACTAAATCTCCATAATTTGCAAAGATATGGTTTGTTTTTATTGACTTAATGCATTCCAATATAAGTACACAACATATCCAAAGCATAGGGAGGAGGATTGATCGTAAAAATTACAAGCACAAGTTTCAAATTTTGGTCAAAAAAATGCAGAACGACTTTGATTCCATAGGCCGTTTCAAGCAATTCCAAGGCCAACAATCTGTTCCTGGACATTTTCTGAAGTTATTCCAATCATCCTCAAGCCTTAAAACCTTCACAAATCGCGCCTCACAGTACCACGGTTTGCACCTTTTTTTCAAAATTCGTTTTCAATGATTTATCCATCATAAACATGTTTTGATCATATATCTATGCTTGCTATCATATTTGCAATGTTTTTGATTGGTTAGATTGAATTTTAAGTGCAGGAATGACATGATGCCATTGTTAGGGTTTTGAGGTCCCGAGTTGGGAATTCTATATAAAGACAAAATTGGACAAAATTAGGGGTACCATCATGCTCAAGAGATGATTTGCAATTGATCCATGTCTTTGGTTTGAATTTATTATGCTTGTGCTGCGTTTTTGAATTTTACAGGTTTATAGCTACGAACAAAATCCGTCACTATAGCCTATAGTGACGGAAATAACTGTAGGTAAAAGCTTAATACCTAAAATGACAGTTCTGGGAAGAAGATGAGGGCGTGGCAGCATCCCACTGGCCCGTTTGAGTCCACACGCGTTTTTCTAGACAAGACACTTTGTTTACATTATATTTTATTTATTTCATTATATGTACAAATGAGCTTTCCAATGCAGTTGGTCAGGGAGCGTGTATATGATGCAAACGTCATGGGTTCGATCTCAGGCGTGTGCTTTTATATTTTCTTGACAATTAATTGCAGATTCAGCGCATCTCCTAGCCAAGCATCCACTGTGCGCTCACAGATCCCGCCATTTGGATCATCTCAAAGCAAATCTGATGTTCTAGAGTTGAAGACCCATGGTGAACTCCCAGAAGCTGGTCCACACTGGACCACATGCAAGGCAGACGAGCCTACCATTTTGGGCTTGGCGAATTCGATTCCACACCCCCAAATTGCTTCTCCTAACAAGCCTAGTTTTATTTTTCTTTCTTATTTTTTATTTTATTTAATTTTAATTTTAATTTTATTTGTTTCAAAAATCATTTTTTTATAAAATCAAAAAATCACAAAGCATTAAAATCATATTTTTTTTCATAAAATATTTCATTTCATTAATTAGTTAGATTAATTTAATTAGGGCAATTTAATTTTTTTCCATAATTAAAATCAATTAGAAAATTAGGGTTAATTTGTAAATAGTTAATTTTCTCAATAAAAAAATAACAAAATTATTTTCTTTGATTACTTTTGAATTTAGACATTGATTCCGGCATTTAATTCGTCGCGCGCGCAATATTTTATTTTTTCCAATTATTGTATTTGCTTCGAGTTTGTAATAGCTTTTAATTAGGGTTTACCGCTTATTATTTACTGTTTAATCCCCAGTTTTTGGTTATGTAACCCCATTCCCCAAAACTTTGTAATAGCGTAGATTTACTTTTCCGCTTTTAATTTCCGCAACTATTAATTGCTAGATGATTGATAATAGGATTGTATGCAAAATACAAATGAAATTAAAACAGTAGAAAACCCTAATTGTGCAAAGATAATCATCTGAAATCAAACACATGCACATGTTCACTCTTAGGGTTTATCCCACTTCGGTTGCCTTCGGTAAACAGTCATGAAGTAGAGGGAATTTTAGTGGTCACCCTTTAGTCCCAAAAGATAAAAAATGACCGATTCGAATGTTGCCTCAAAAAGATCTTTAAGACTCTAGGGTAACTACTAAGATCTCATAACCATTGCTTCAACGATCGTAATTGTCCCTTCGAATTTCCTTTAAAAATCCAACGATAGGGCTACCTACTCCTTAATAGTAGGATAGTGTTATCTAAAGGAAACGAGAAAATGAATATCCTTTTTCGAGTAGGTAGACACTGTTAGGTACTTGCTCAAAAACCAATGGTTTTTCACAAACACTTTCAATACAATTTTAAAAAACAACTTCGTCACACTCTTGAGGACAGATACAAGAGTTACCGCGACATAAAAAAAACTTTTCAAAACACACACAAGCAATTTCAAAATGAGCAAGTACCTAAGAGCCCATGGAAAACCATGGATAGAAAGGGTGCTAACACCTTCCCTTTCTATAATCTACCCTCCGTACTCAGAAAACTCTCAAAAAAGGTTTTTTCTGTTCTTTTTCCTTTTCCTTTGTTGGATGAAATAAAAGTCAGTGGTGACTCTTGCTTACTGCGACATTTGCGAACAAAAAACGCAAATCAGTATTAAACAGTCGGCTCTGCCACCATATCACATGCTAGTTTATTATATCCTGACACTAATGATAACACAATACATCTTATGTATTTACCATTATTAGCCGACTTTAATAAAATAGGTAGATACAGCTGGGGATTTGCAGTTTTATCGCATCTATACAGAAACCTGTGTAGATGCTCTAGAAAAGATGTTCATAATTTTTCTGGTTGTTCAACACTACTACAAGCTTGGAGATGGTCCAGGATGCCGAATCTAGCACCTAGGAATCGTAATCCCTCTCACTTTCCATATGCAACCAAGTAAGTTGAAACTACTCCTTTGTCTTAAACTTATTTACTATGTGAACAATATTTAAGTATTATTTATTTTTAGATGGTCTGCCTATGATATGGATTACGAAAAGACTCTTCAACATTGTGCACCTGGCTATCGTACTTTCAACGATCATTTCGAAGAAGCTGATGTAATATTATTAACCATAGATTACTAATAATTACTATTATTTTATATAGTTCGTTAAACTAATAACTGATTTATTTTAACAGTTTACATGGAGGCCCTCTCTAGGGCTTGATGATACCGATCCGACTGATAGTCACGTGTGGAGTGAAAAAACATTTATCATTTGTTTTACTATAGTTGAAATGCATCATACTGATCGGGTAAAACTCTAATTTGGCATTATGCAAGGCATGCCGGATGCTCCACAGTGCATGGAGGAGTATCACAAAAGTGTGGTGAATGACCAATGGGCATATAGCAATTGGAAAGATTATTACAAACAGGAGCGTCGTCAATGGCATAACCGCGAAGATAAAGTCTTAGAAGGAGATGTCATGTCAGAAGAATGTAAACCGAGTAAGGAATACATGGAATGGTATAAGTCTGTTACAAATTTGTATCTGTCACCAAACAAATTCTTATTTGACCCTCGTAATTTGCTAACATCTTCAAACGTCCAACACACCAGACCATCATCAAGCACTTACACCCAACAACCATTCATGAGCAACCAAGAACCTTTCTTCCCAACATAACCATCTTTTACCCAACAACCTTTCTTCCCAACACAACCACCTTTTATCCCAAGCCAACAATACCATCAACAAAACCCTTCATTTAACCCCACCCAATGGGGCACCCAACAACAATATCCTTCATCTAACCCCGCCCAATGGGGCACCCAACAATAATATCCTTCATCTAACCCCACCCAATGGGGCACCCAACATTAATACTCACATTTTATCCAGTCAACATCAATCAGTCTACCACAAACATCATTAACACTACAAATCCCACATGATCCCAACTATTAGACACCCCAACAACAAATGCATATTTCCCGGCCACAATAATTTACCTCCCAAGATTGTTATCAACCCTTAATAAATAGCCCAATGTCTTCTAATCTCATACCAAATTGGAATTGAGAGGGAACCAGATTAAGTTATGGAAGTGCAGCCGAGACAGACTATACTAATGAGGACATGATTGAGGAATTTTTAATGGGCGGATGTGACGCGGAACCTTCAACTCAACCACAAAATGAAGAAGGAAATCGCAGAACAGGCCAACGTACAAGACGAGCACCTGCTTGTGGAACTCACCAACTATTGACACGACCCGGTCAAAATCGACAGTAGATGTATCTTCTCTATTGAATCTTTGTTTAATTATAGTGGAATTATATAATTTAAAAATGAAAAAAAGTTAATTCAAGTAAATTAGTGAAATTTTTGTTTAATTATAGTGTATTTTGTTTAATTATAGTGTATTTTATTTAATTATAGCAACTTAATTTTATAAAAAAAATCACGTTAACACTCTTCCGCTCATCCAATGGACGGATCCTCTCTAATTTTTAAAGCTTCCGCCCAATACTTCAGCGGATGGAAAAAAGTTCTCATTGCTCCGCCCATTCAATTGACGGATGCTTTATGGCAAAAAAAATTTTTTATTTGAAAAGAGGGTAGATTGGAATTATTGAATGAAGATGATGATATATTAAAATTTAATATGTAAAAGAAGGGTAAGACAGTAAAAAATTCTCTTTTACACTCCCATTGAGACGCTTGACTAGTATAAAACTATGTTATCCCCTGTATGTTATGCACACACAAATCATAACTTAAAATATGGCATCCTTTTCCCAATCCATACAAGTCTTGTTCCTATTTTCCCTTATCCTTGTTCATCAAGGACTTTCTAATCCTTTTACACGTATTATCCATGGTCTTCCTTCTGTTGGTCATCGTCTTGCTCCTTATTTTCCATCACCACCTAATAATAAAATTGATCCACTTTATGCATCTTCACCCCGTCCTTACAAACCACCAACTGATTATAAGCCACCAAATCATAGGAAAAATCCAGTAGATAAGATTCATGTCTAAATCATGGTTGCAACAAGTTAATATTAATATATATTCTATTAAATAAGTGGTGCTATTTAGTACTTAGTTACCAATGCTTAACTTTGTCTATGTACTTATGGGGTTAATCCCTTCGTTTTATATCTATTTTTATTTTGTGTCAGTTTACCAAGTTAGGAGAGCATTATATATGTGCTATGAATATAAATCATGAGAGAAAGCTGTATTTTGTTCTCCTATTTACAAATAAATAAAGTTTATGCATTTGAGATTTTGTTGTTAATCTTTCATGTGTTACATAATATATCCGTCTCTTATTATAATCTTGTTTTAAGATATTGGTATACACATTATAAAATATACAGTTAAACCATATAGTATTTATATTTTAATAAAATATAATTTGTTATCTCATTGTACTTTACTACTACAATTTTGATATATAATATTAGAGATGATAATTGAACTCCTCTCTAATAGGTATATGTAAAGATTACCTACAACTGATAATATATATAAATCTGTAAAATTATATGTAAAGATTACCTACAACTGATAATATATATAAATCTGTAAAATTATATGAGTATTGGCACGAATAATTTTCTACTAAAATAAGTGGGTACGACCATAGTTGCGGACATTTTAACACTCATCACACCTTATATCCGCACATCATATACTTTTTTTTTATTATACATACACACATATATATTTATTAGTTTTATTAAATACATCAATATTAAACTTGTTTGCATTTTAATATAAGTATTTGTTTATTTCTTAACTCAATAATAACATCAATGAATATTTTTTAAATGTTGTTAAAAACTTAAAATGATATGTAATTTGGACTAGGTCAGCACTTGCTCCACCGTTAGGGAGGCCCAATCCAACACATTTGCATAAGGCTCAAAGACAAACAACCCAAGTTGGGGACCGTTGGACAACTCCCCACGTGTCCGTGGGGGAACGTAGTCCACGTGTCCATGTCATCATCATCATCCTGCCCTCCGAAAATAACGGGTCCAACTCCTGCTTTTCAGGGCAGTTGACCAAGGGGGAAGCCATGTGCTGGAATCCATACACATGTAAGCCCTGACAATCTCCATTGTTAGGCCTCTTCGTGGCCCAATATTGGACACCTTGGCCCAACACTGAGGACTACAAATACCCTCTCACTTGAGAGGGTCAGGTATTGAATCATTCACACTCTCATACTCTCTTACTTGCATTAAGCTCTGAACCTCACTTTGGAATTAGAGTGTCTTGCAGGTATCCCCCCCCCCCCTTCCCCCACTTCACGTTCAAATGCTGCTCAACTCGAAGTTTGTGGGTTTTGACAATCCATTCTAGTCAGGTACGATTAGTGGCGCCGTCTGTGGGAAACTAGCTTCCACGTCTTTCATTTACCTAAGACTAAAGTAATTATCAAACTCTGTGATTGTCATGGCCGACCCAGGTGCCAACAACAAACTAAACCCCAGTCTCACTGACCTCAACAACAACGTCAGCGACGACATTGGTTACAACAACCCTAGGAACGAAATCGACATGGCCGGTCTCAAGCAGAACTATAGGGACAGCATGACCGCCTCTTCATCATCCCGCTCTGGGCTGCACGAGGATGCCCATCCGCCCCAGAACTATGAGTTGAACGTTTTCCAAGAGGTCCCCGTTCCTGCGGGCTCTGATGATACGAACAGGGCTCTGTTCGCGACCATTAACCAAACAAACTACTTAATGTTCTCGCAAGGCGAGCGTTTAAGGGTGCTCGAGAATACTCGTTGAGCCCCCAGAAGACACAGAAGACCTGACACTTCTCCGCCCTGTCAAAATAAAGACCCTCATCGGTCTCCCCCGCAGAGACATAGACGAGATAAATCACGAAGCCTTTCTCCCCGATGAATTGGGCGAGGCCCCACGTTGGAGAGGACACTTTTCGAAGCCACGGGGAGACGCAAACACACTCCCCGCACGGGGAACGACAATCCCCTGTAAACAACAGAAAAAGGGGAAACGGAGGAGTACAACCTCGGCCAAGGGATCGTCCCCACGGACAAGGCCTGAACCGCAGCCAGCTCTGACAGAAGAACAAAGGGCTCCGCCAAAGGTCGACTCCATCTCGCTCGACGCCCGCTTAGACAAGGATGAAGCCCCTAACGGAAAACATGAACTCCTCTAACACATCCCATACAGAGACTTCGAGTTCAAGGCTTGAGGGCATTCGAAAGAAGTCAACGAGTGAAACCTGTCCAGGTTCATTCAAAACCCAAAATGGTAGAAGATCATCAAAAATGGCAACTTTTTAAAAATTTCGATTCTGCCTTCAAAGCCATGGTTAATGACTGATTCTTGCCATTTTCGTTCACCAATACACTCCTATAAATACATAGCTAAAGACACATTTCCAGGGGCAGAAACATTTTTGCCTAGACACACACGTATTGCACCCACACAGGAAAAAACCACCTCAACGAGTCACACAAAAATCATAAAAATACATCAAAGTTTCCAAATTCGAAAATCTTTGCAAGCTCCCTCAGTCCAAACGAATACCAGATTCATTCTCCTGAGACTTCCAGGAAGCCATCCCATGCCCAGAACTACAGATCGAAGTGGCTCTGTTTGGTAAAAAAATTCTATTTTTCAAACACATTCGATCTCTAATTCAAACTCACTTCGATTGCATACTCATGTCATTGTTGTTGTTTGTGAATGATTTAACGTAATACTTGTAAGTTGCAGTGTCCAAATGACAGGATCCCATTGTTGTGGCCTTCGAAGCTAATTGCTTTTGAAACTCGTGATATAGGTCGTTTCAAACCAAAATAACCCAGATTCAGACTCGGGGAGTTCGAACTAAAGGGAGGGTTCGAATCAAAGGGGAGAGACCATGGTTCGATACCCAGGTCATGGTTTTTTTCATTTTTCTAACATGTCATTTGCAGATCTAGTGCTGGCAGGTCCCACGCGTGCATCATGAACCATCAACCTAAGCCATCAGATCGCAGATGATCCAGATCCAATGTATCCAAACGCGCCGACCAACATGCGCCTTCCAAAGTTGCCCTCATTGAATCACAAAGTAGGCCCGGACTCCTCAGACTTGGGCCCAACATTTTTTTAAACTTGCACCCCCCCAGTTTTTCATTTTACTACTCAGGCCCATTTATATTTTTATTTTATTTTTTATTTCTTTTCTTAATTTGTTTTAATTTGTTTAATCAGCAAAAATAGATAAAAATCACAAAAAATATAGTTTTTTTTAGGTTTTTTTAATTGAATTAATTTTGCAAATTAATTATTAGTTATTTTAACTCTTTTTCTTAATTAAAATTGATTAGACCTAGGATTTAGTTCATTTTAATTTCTTTCTTTTCATAATAAAAAAAACATAGAACTAATCCCCTTTAATTAGTTCCATCTTTTCAACTATTTCTATTTTTCTTTAAATCTAAATTTAGATTAGCTAATCTAATTTTTATTTAAATATTTTCTTAAAATAAAAAACAACAAAAGAAGTTCTCTTTTTTACTTAGAGTGAGTTTAGGATTAGACGTCATTTCAATTCACGCGCGTTGTTACCTTTCGCATTTTTATTTTCCTATTTTTTATAACTGCTTATTGGATGTAATATAATTAACTGGGACTCTTTTATTTCTTTCTTTATTTTCCCCCCAAGTTTTAGATATGTAATTAATCCCCCCTCCCCAAAGCCTTGTAATAGTTTAGAATTTATCTTTCCGCATTTTAAATTTCTGCAAATTATTAACTGCTTAGATGCATGACTAATAGGATTGTATGGCAAGAATAACAAATAAAACGCTAGCAAACCTAATATCAAGATAAAGAACTGAAACATAACACAATTGCACACGCACACCTTTAGGGTACTCCCACTTTGGTTTCCTTTAGAAAACAGTCACAAATCTCGAAACGTGAGAGATTTTAGTGTCTACCCTCCGGTTTAAAAGATCATAAGTCCCTCGATGACCCTATCGACGTTGCCTCGGTAAAAATGATCTTAAAACTCTAGGGTAGTTGCTAAAATTTCTTGTCCAGTTGCCTTTGTGACTATAAACGTCCCTTCGAATGTCCCTCAAACATCCAACGATAGGACTACCTACTCACTAATAGTAGGATAGCACTATCTAAAGGAATAGAGGAAAAGAACGACCCTTTCGAGTAAAAGTGGATAGCTGTTAGATGCTTGCTCAAAAACAAACTTTTACACTTACACAAAACAATTTTAAAAAACCTTTTCAAAATGCTTTATCAACAATCTTGAGGACTGATACAAGAGTTATCATAAAGCAAACTGCCTGACTATTGGCATTTCAAAAATACTTTTCAAAAACATACAAAGCACAAGGTATTTTTCAAAATGAGCTAAGCATCTAAGAGCCCGTAGAAAACTACGGATGGAAAGGGTGATAACACCTTCCCTTTCCATAATCTACCCCATTACTCGGAAATAATCTCGAAAGGTCTTTTTATGTTCTTTTCACCCTTTCCTTTGTTAGATAAAAGAAAAGTCGGTGGTGACTCTTGCTTAGCACAACATTTGCGAATACAAATGTAAAACCAGTATAACAGTTGGTTCTGCCACCGTATCACACCTGGACTCGACCACGAGGTCGCCTGCCACCAACTGGCCATTGATCCAGTCGTTAGGACAGTAGTGCAACATAGACGTAGGCAAGCTCCCGAGAAAGCGGAGGCTGTTGAAAATGTTGTAAAAGACCTCCTAGAGGCTAATTTTAGTTCTGAGGCCCGGTATTCAACCTGGATCTCAAATGTTATACTAGTTAAAAAGAATAATGGAAAATGGAGAATGTGTGTTGATTATATTGATCTTAATTTGGCATGTCCCAAAGATGTTTTTCCTTTACCGAACATTGATATGCTGGTCGGCAACTCGGCCTTCTATAAAAATTTATCGTTCATGGATGCCTACTCGGGCTATAACCAAATCCCCATGGGGATGAGCGACAAGCATTGCACCACTTTCATGACCA